CTAAATCTCGGTAAAAATATAGCCATCGTTGCACGTTGGTGTTTGTCCCTTACCACAATTAACAACGACGAACGCAAACTTTGTACATGCTAAATTTACTGATATTGAATTTTTATGGGAGATTGAGACGGAGTTGGTATGTGAGTAGTGAGTACGGTTTACCATACAAGTACACTACATTTCTTACTTGTCATATTGAACTCGAAAATACTGCTATGGTTATCGATAATACTACGTCAGCTAGTATGTTTTGGGAGGAGCTCAGTTTATTCAATAGGTAACGAATTCATATCACCGTCAGCATAGCAATTAGAGTCGACGACGATGTCGCCAACCCATACCACTACAACCGATAAGCCACTAATTCGAGCGGAGTCCGTTGTTGAAATGTTACAACGTCGCAACAAACAAGCATCGTCGTCATTAAAGGAGTTTACAAATCAGTAATATAAATAATAACACATTGTAATTTAATACATTAATTTTTTTTTATTATTGTAAAATTGATATATTATACATTTCAAATGTTCGTAAAAGAAACAATGGATTTATTTTTTTATCATATAACCGAAGAAAAGGTGCACTTTGCCAATGATATAGTTTAATACGTGGTTGAAAAGCAGACATGCCAAAAATAAGTTATCGTTTGTAAGAATTATAATGAGAGGGCCTTGTATGGCTTGTTCGGATTTATATTTTACTGATATACGACAAGAATCGCCACCTAATAATGCTTTTAACTCGTTGACGTGATTAGCTTCATAGTTATGCTCGTTCCACAATTCTAATCGTTTACCGGCTGCTTCCATAAACGCCAGATTATTAGTTTTGTTGGATGTACCCAGTACACCGTAATTAATGAATAATGAAGCAACCGCATCAAAGAAATATTTTTAGCGGCATTAGGAGGTGCTAATATTGCCAATGTATTACATTTTGATACATGCTTGTCGATAACATTTAATAGGTCAATTAAAAAATAATATTAATTTTCACTATTGTTATCGAACTGGTGTAATAATAATTCATTGCCAATACGAACGGACTCTTGTACATTGTAATAGACATGCTCCTTTAATCTATTATACGCATTAAAATATGGGTTCACCTTTTCGTCTTTATAATAGTTATCAAAGTCCAATAAACGCCAAGGCATTAAATTTATGCACCATAACTCTAAGTCCCTATCTACATATTTATCCTTTGAACATAAATGATTTAAGTTAGTATTTAAATAGTATTCTTTAATGTTTTTGTAGGCTTCGGGTGGACAACACTCATTTGCACTCAATACTATTTTTCTCATTGTTTTTGAATATACATTATGTTTGGTTGACTGTATCGAGTTAATATCACAGTATGCATTAATTTTACTAGGTTTATCATTTAATGTATCCGTATGTTTAGAATTTTGTATACTGAACTTTGATAAAATATCTAAATAATGATTGACTGTCATATACTTGTCTCTAACATAATTTTTTACACCTTTTGCCTTTTTGTATTCAATACCACTTACCGTATAAGCGTATAATTTAGGTCTTAGTGTTACAAATTCGGTCATAATCTTACTTTGAAGTTCATCTTTAAACAACCCCGGGGTGTATTTATATTTTTCACTGTAACAAATGTGATCAATTGGAAAATTAGAAGTATCAAAATGATTCTATAAATCAAATTTTAAATCATCAAAAAAAATATTTGTTTTAATACGATATATTAATGAATCGGTGTCGGTATATAATAGTGATATTTTTTTTCCATATTTATTTTTCATTACTTCATAATGGAAATTATAAATATATGTTTTCGAAATATCCAAAATAGAAAATCCCACGTATATTGGTTTATCGAATTTAATTTTTTCTTTTTGAAAATGTAAAGACAGAAGTTCATTGGAATATATAGTTCTATCAATGAAATTAGGTTTTCTCATTAGTCTATGAGCTTTTCGATCATTGTATACTAACTTAATATCTAACCTTTTACGCGGATTCTCCATACATTTTCCATAAACACTATTTACCAGTAATTTCCAAAATTCATATTCAAACTTGTTTCAAATTTGTGTGGTTCTACACGATCATCATTTCCCCCTGCTGTCGTCCGATTGCGTCATCTGGTTTCCAACTAGGTCCCACTCCACTGGGAGTGAAGACCACACATGCCTCCTCTTTCAGGAGAAGGGGGGTAGTATCATGCATATAGTGATATATACATAGATAAATAGATCACATGATCTCCCTACTACCCACTTGTGATAAGCATTGACGAAGAGGTCGTTTCAATGAAAAAATAACAAAAAAAAACTTGTTTTTCGCCAAGACCCTCATACTTGTACATTTATCCACATAGGGGGCTAACCATTTTGATTGAGCAAACATAATAATTTTATGTACTTTTACAACTTTTAATGTTGTAAGCAATTTATTTATCTTAGAATTAGGTGGGCAACCATTGTGTGGTAAAAAGGGTAAATCACTATGATTGTCATGTAATTTTTCAGGGTAATTCACATCTACTTCCAGTATATATCCAATAGGCGCATCATCATCTATACTAGTAACGTCCAATGTCAAATCGTTATACCATTCAAAATTTTTGTATGGTAAACTTGCAAGCATTGATTTACCGTAGAGATTAACACAATCAAAATACGCTAAATAAACGTGAGGTTTTTTTTCGTTGTAATTAGGTTCACATCAGGTAAATTGGCTCTAGCATAACGTCTTACAGTTTGACATACCCCCCCCTCTTATACCATTCTCTATCAGGAGGAGCATTGGATATTGTTTTAACCTCTCGAGTTGTACACCTGTATAACTTAACATTGCGTCAAACGCAAAACCAGGTGCTGTTAAATAATAAGAGGCATCTAAATTAAAAGTTTTCAAACAAATATCTCTAAAATTTTCAAATACATCAGCCAGAATCAATACGTCAGTTAATAAGTATAAATCACTATACTCACCTAGACTTTTTATGTTAAATTTCTCCCAAACATCATGATCTCGAACAAAGTTCACATTTTGATGAATAAATATATTGACTTTCTTCCTTTTTTGTTAATTTATTCATTGATATATTAGTATTATAAGGTGATAAATTTTGGTAGAAATACTAATTATAGTCGACATAAAACGCTTTGATGCATTTACCTCTATAAATTATAGGATTTCTAGGAATTTTAAATTTATTTATTAATTCTTTTGGGACGATATTGTAATCAATTTTAACATATAATCCATAACTCATGGGTTTATGATAATGAGTATTTTTAGTATTGTCTGTTATAATATTATTAATCGGTTTTAAAAAGCATTCAAAATCAGCATAAATTACAATCGGAATTCGGTCGGCTTGATTAAATTTATTAAAATATATAAATTCATCATCATGTGAATCAATCATTACAGGCTTACAAAGTTTATGTTTTTGACAAATTACTTTATGACTGCCAAGACCATGCTGGCCCCATGTCTTATTTTTATTTGGATTATTGTTAAAAGTTGTAAAACATCGCTTGCAAATAATTATTTTACTTGCATGTTTTGTTCTTTCATCTTTGTGATCTGATCAGTCGTGAGAAATTATTTATAAAACAAAAATTACTTGTTGTTGCATTTGTGAAATAAAACAAATCGTAATGATCGGATTTTTCGATATTAATTATATGAAGCGGGTAAATTTGATTTTTATCATCACAGCTATAAACATTAACTGATATGTTATTAATTTTTTCAAATGTTTTTATTTGATTTATTGGTGTAGGATAATCAAGACAATTAAAATTAAACCCACTTTTTTTTTCTAAAAAATTAAAATATTTAATACTAAAATGATTTTTATTTTTTTTTTCATTAAATTTTGATAAAATTGCATATTCAAAACAATTATTATCATCATTCATAACGTTAATAATTGCTTTTTTATCATAAATTATTTTTGGTAATTTTATAAATGAGGATCCACCTAGTAAATTAACCTTATTCGTTCTTAATTGTAAACCATCTAAACTAATTTGTCTCCAAGAAGATCCCTTCAACAGAAATGACTCTTGTTCGTTTAATAAATTATCAAACATGTTTTTTAAAAGAACTGTAAAATTTGATGTAAAAAAACATAAAACATTTGATGTTTTAAAAGCAACATCTTGTACTTCACCCGTAATTAAATTTTCATATACTAAGTCTACAAATAAATTAAATTTATAGGTCGATGTGGAACATAGTTCTTTTAATTTTGATTTTAATAATGAAGATGTAGAATTTAAAAACGATGATAAATCAATAATATTTTCGTGGTTTTTTAAAAAAAAAAGTTTTTAATTTAAAGAAGTTTTAAATTTCTCAACTTCTACTAAATCCCCCCCAGGTATGTTTAATCGATCAATTATTTTAATATGATTAAATTTTGACATTCTTAATAATTAATACAAAACTATGCGAAATTTAAATATATTAAATTACTTATGTATGAACTGTTGATTGTAGTAAATCCGCTGCGTAATTAAATATTGGGTACACTTGTTGTATGTAATCTTCACTAGGTTCAGCATATGAATTTTGGTTGTCGCAAAAATTGGTATATTTTTGACACGTGATACACCTTCGTCTTTGACAATAATACATTAATACATTTATTTCTTTGATCATAATATGAAATGCATCAAAACGTAAATTGACAAGATTTGAACTAAAATGTGTTTGATTAAAATAATTAGCGCATTCAAACGAACAAAATATATCAACAATATAATCATTAAATGAATATCGCACTTCCCTCACGACAAAAGCTGAATGCGTCTGTCGAAAATATTTATATACGTCACGTTCACTATGAGCAAACAAATATTTTACAATGTGTCGTATTGTAGTCGGTGGTATATGTCTAATTACACTCCAATGCGTTGGATGCTTCTGCCGCCCGTAGATAAGTATCGCAATACGTTTCCGTAATCTATTGCCTGCATGTCGATCCCTCTAGCAATCCTACGAAGTCTACGTCTGCCGTCGACGCGCCAAAATGTGCTCGAATAATGAAGGCGCACCGACAACACCCTCCCGAGTATCCACATATGTGGCTGATGTGGATGTGGTCGTCGTGCTTGGCGATGACGTAGAAATGTTGTGGAGGGTACTTGTCAATAATTTAGTCCAGCTCTCGCAGACACCTCTGAACTCCCCTAACTCCACGCGGCACAATGATGCTACTGACATATCTATAAAATTAAAAAAATTAATAAATATAAAAATAGTTGTAAAATTTAATTAAAAAGTACCTGTGTATCCCATACATGAATTTTGAAGCGAGTTCACGTCCAAGTTGGACAATGAGGTCTTCATATTTCTCCTGATTTGATTGTAAAGTGTCGTCATCTCTGTCGCCGACAACATCATTGTTGCGAACCAGATGTGGAGTTCGGTTTACAAGGTCGAATCAAATGAAGTAACACGTAGTCAAATTAATTATTATTATAAATTTATTGACCAAAGGCTAGTGGTTAATACTTTTTAAGCACTCAGAGTAATGTTACAATTTAAGACAAATATCTCTAGTATGAATACTGTCAACAAGTCGTCACGTAGAAATAGTGTGTCTGGTCTCCCTGCTGGGGAGCCTTTATATAGTAGACAACAGTCAGATTACATGGTCCTTTACAAGATCCCACTTAAGTATTCGCTATGGCTCCTCTAGTACTTTAGAAACTAACTTTTCCTTGTGGCACTCGTTAATAGTAATTAATATATTATGCCAAGTACACCATGCATAATACTGTAGTAATAATATTATATTCTTGTGTTGTCCTAACCTTGGCTATTGCAACATCATCGTATCATCCTATATCTTCTGTATCTCCGAACTCATCCATTTCTTCGGATGAATCACTACGTCGATCACGCTCTGAGGGCAAACCACGAAAATAATCACCATCAGAGCCGTCAGAGGATACTGATTCTTCCCCGTCGGAAATAAAATGTCTAAGAAATCCAAAAGGATTTCTTCGTTCGTCAGGTCTTTTTTCATCGTGGTCAAGGCGTATGTTTTCAGGTTCGTGAGTTTTTGCGACCGTAGTAGCTCCGCCTCCATCTGCAGTTTCGTTTGTACCAAGTCCGCCGTCTTCTTCACTATCTTCGATTTTTTCGTTGTCTTACCCATCCGACGATCGCTCTTTCGGTGATCCATCTCCAGAGCAGCTCTCTTCCGTTAGGTTCATTGTGTCTGGACATTCGTTCGTGAACATTTCTAATTTACTCTACTAGTATATCTGCTTAGTAAAAGATAGTAATACTGTTTGTTCACACACACAGTTGCGAAGATAACTAAGCACACCACTGCCCTCTCGTCAATCCCAACCTTATCGTGCTTATGTTATTATAATTACCTAATACGTCCTTTCTTAATTATATAAATTAATTATTATTTATGCGTCTATCGGTGATTGCACTTTTGCGGTTTCTGGTTTCTTTCACAGAACACGGTACCGGTGATTTGCCAGTCTGTCACAGAACACGAGACCGGCTAAAATAATCGCCGATAGACCGCATATAAAAGGCCGCACGATCGACAACCGAGTACCAGTCTTTTACCTGATCTGTAGCAAGACCCACCCGTGCAGATTTGCGCATTTCAGGTAAAAAGCCTTCCACACCCGAACTTATCGGACGGTATTTATATCGGTCAATAGTGCAATAGTCAGAGTATTCCACCATTGCACTGACCATATATCTGTCGCAGTTTATGGGGCAATAGTCGGAGTATTTTGGCATTGCACCGACTGTCATACCGTTTGGTAAGTTCCAACACCCCGTCGTGCGCACTTTAAACTCCGTACCCTTCGATATTAAATCATAAAACCGTGTACATACTTTTTTGTTGTTGTTTAATAAAATGTAAAAATCGTCAGTGTGACATCAAACTAATCGAATTTTTTATTACCACAATAAAACAAATCCAAACCACAACCTCAAACACTGTTGCTCAGACTTACGTTCAAGTAAATTGTCAGTGATTGACTAACTTTTATGACTGCCGACTCCTATTTATATGCCTTTGAACAATGGTTGTTATTGTACTGTACTTATCGAATGACATTTGATATTCCTGATTAAGAATATACTATATATTACGTAATCCAGTCGAACAACACGAGCTTTATGCTTGCTCAGAGATTATTTTAATAATATTTCTACAACGGCAGCAACAACCACAAAGTGACCTTGCTCCGTAATCAACCAGCGCTCGCCGGTATGCTTCGGGGTTGGCTGTTTGAATTTTTAAACGATCTGAGGAGGATTTGCAATAAAAATTGTCAACTCCGATGATCTCGATTAACGCTTCGCACAGTTCTGAAAAGTTAATTATGCCTTTTACAAAAATCGGCGGCGGTGGTTTAATTTGGTTGACGATATTTGATTTTGGAGAAAAGCAAGATGCTTCGTTAGAGTCCGGTATGATCGGGTTCGTGGGTTCGGTTTGCGTAAGCACTTCATAGCGATTTGCCGTTATAAATAATTTTTTATAATTTTTATTATTTGAAGTAGGATCGGGGGATTTCGGCTCGGATGAATCTGAGTGGTTTCTTTTATTGATATTTTGTGTTCAATTGACATCTAAGTTATCATCCGAAGGGTTCAACATAGAATTGTTTGAAGTATTTTTGATTAGGCGAGCTGCCTGTGTATTGTTGTTTTTATTTTTTTCTGCATATTTAATATCTTTCCTTGTCGACGTAGTGGGTGCGTTGTTAGGCCGCGGCATGTTATCTGGTGGGCAAAGGTCGCATACCGATGCACGAAGCAGCGATAGCGCAACGGTTATAGAGTAGACGGTTGAAACTTGATAGGCGCACTTCCAGTTTTTATAATATGTATAAATAAATAAGTTAGAAGATTGCGATTTTTTTCGTACTAAATACGACACATTCGGGTACGAAAAGTAGACGGGCAAAGAGCAATCCGCGACTGATTGCTTTACTAGGTGTAACGGAGTATAACTTAAAACGGTCCTTTTCAGGACCACTACCAACTTAGACTGACACACAACCACGCGGGGCGTAATAACAAAAGCTAGATTCTATAGAAATATATTTCACCAGTATGACGAGGGAAAACCGCACTAAACCAATGGCAACCACCAGGAAACGATGCGGTTTTAACTCGTCATACAGCACCTCATCAGCCAATCAGAATCGTCGACGGTGAATTAAAGAATATATATACCGGGACAATTCACCAAATGATCATCGGGGCATGCACGCCGGTGTTTCTATTTTAAGACTAGAAGTCTGGAAGCTTATCGCTTCGTTAACACTAATGTTTTTATAGTGTTAATTCTGAACGCTTCTGCCTGCTGAGAGACAGTTGTGAATACCCTAGCTAAATATGGCTCGGGTAGGTTGCGTCTGTTGTTGCGGTTTTCTATCCACTCTGGTGGAATAGGGGTGTCATTATCTGGTGTTATCACACACCAATTGGTGTGGTTGTTATCCGAAACGCTGGTCTTAATTAACTGAGAGTTAAAGAAAGTTGCTGATCCGTATACTGATATAGATTCCTGACACAGGGAGGTGACGTTTTGTTCACCACTGAGGCTTAAGTTGCCTGGTAACGGGATAGGTCTTGATATAACAGTCTGGGACTGCGCTCCTACTTCCGTTAGTGTGGAGAATACCACTTCGGTATTCTTGAATGTCTTGGAATTTGCCAATACATCGGAGATTGAAGTTAAGAATCTGAAGTTAAAACCTGTGTGTTCAGGGTAACTTGGAAAGTTGACATCAGTGATGTCACATTCGAATGCTAGATTCTTAGGTTCCAATCGTCTGGACCCTAAAGGTCGGAAACCTAATAGGTTTCTGTTGGGTTGAAGTCCTCTGTAACTTACAGCGGACTGGTAGTTGCCTGGTCCTGCGTTTCCGATTGATGCTCGGACTGCTTCTGTTAGGACCCCTAAACAAGGGATTTCCTCGTACAGGTTGTGAATGTTATCATCCGTTTCCGGATTCGGGACAACTAGTTCTCCGTAGTATCCGCCTCTGTGATTGAACTGATAGGTCGGTAACTCGGGGAAGGCTGGGTACAGATGTTGTTTCGTTGAGGTAACTATGTTACCTATCTGTCTCAGCTGCAAAAATATCGGTTCTGGTACCGTGAATGGTGTTGTTTGTACCAGTTGTAAGATATCTTGCTCTTGCTCTATGAGCGGTTGAGAATTCTTCTGTTTTAAGGACAGAATTCTGAGCCATAGCATGGATGTGGTGTAGTAGTCTAGATACTCCGGAAGTAGTGATTTAGACAGATTTGAATCGTCTGTAATCATTTCCGCGAAGGTCTGACGTGAGATGTCGATAATTGCTGGGGTAGACGGTGTGAACTCTAATCTTGGAGAGACTTCACGAACTGAAATACCAGAAGCAAAGACGGATCCTTCTGCTGGGCTGACCTCGGTCACTTTAACATGCGAAATGTCGTGTAATCGAGATGGTGATGGTAATTGCGCTGGCGCATTACGTGGGGAGAGTTTTTCGGCTCTCGGTGGCTGGGCTGGTTTTCCTTTCCACAGATTAGGTGCTTGCGCATTTCTCTGCTTCTCTGGGCGTCCCATGTAGCCACGTGCAGGCGCCTGACGTTCTTGACGTGCTGGACGATCCTGTTGTTGGTCAGACATAATTATGTATGACGAATTAACTAAAAGTTTTTCTTTTATGTTAATTGATTTAGAATGTTCTAAATGGTGGTGTTGTTTTGTGTGGGTGGGTTGTTGAATTAAATAAATTTAATTGGGTTTAGTTGCGAACCTCGCTCCTGACAATATAAAATCTCTTTTTCCGAATACGATCATATCCGCCTCTTAGGTAAAACCCACTCCCCTCGAACTACCAAACGTTTACTCAAACCATACCCATTAAATTGGACTGACTTACATAACTGAACCTACCAATCAACCCCAAAATCCATCCACTAGTAGAGGCACAAGCCTGGAATAGTAAACGGCATAGCCACCCCTCCCAAAGCAAAGCAAATGATCATCAGTCTTCAACATCTTCTCAAACATTCAACAACATAACTTGTGCAGAAGAACCGAAGATAGAAGACCACACACAGCCAGTTTCCAGCTCTGACCGCCACCGACGACAAGACAGCCGACGATTCCGACCAGTCCGACCGCCGAGCAACGTGCACCCTCGGAAGAACGTAACGGAGACGACCCGGCCCACTATACCGACCGACGTATTCAAAGCACCGACCACCGGAACCACGGCTTCGACGAAAGCTTCGTCGAACGACGAGACGCGAACTTCACGAACTTGAATCGGCGTAATTGATCTTCGACGTGTCCACCTCACGATCGAAATCGAACCCAACGACTTCGACTCGATACGCAGCTGACACGACGACGCCAACGGTAACCGCCAGACCTCAAGAACGGAGAACACTAAATCCTACCCGGTTCGGCCGACCAGTAGCAGTCCCCGACGCCGAGGAAACAACCCATGATCCGTGGACGACCTGAGCACCTCTCACAACAACTGTAATCCACCAGCGACGCGGAGCCAGCCACAAGGAACAACGACCACCTCACTCGGTTAAGCCGAGTCCAGGCACGAAGCACCATCTATCCCAATAGTGGCACGGCAGCCACCGACGAAAACCGCCCATCGGGCAAATATATTTATATTATTCATTTTCTACATAATAAAGGGACATAATACCAATACCTCATTGTGTTGACTTTATTCTACGACACGGGCAGTCATACTGCACCGTATCATAGGTGTTAATTTCTGACCGTTGCCAAATTTTTGTAATATTTCGTAATTTATCCCTGACATAAAATTATAATGTTTCTCTATCTCCGAGACTATGTGGTATTCCTCGGGTGCCTCTACGTGTTTATTAGTTATTAACTGTGTTTCGAATTTATTTAAAAATGCGGGATAGCTTTCCTTTTTATCTCTTTTTTGTTATACATTCTGGTCAAAGCATCGACATTTGAATTTAATAATCCAGGTTTATAGCGAATCTCATAATTGTACTCTTCTAAAAGTATTCGCCAACTTGCGAGTTTCGATATTGGGTCCTTTAAATTGAATAGCCATGAAAGTGCGGATTGTCGCTCATTATAATAAATTTTCTTCCATATAGATAAGGTCTAAATGTTTTTACTGCGAATATTATAGCTAGACACTCAAGTTCTGTGGTACTATAATTGTTTTCGCTTTTATTTAAAGTTCTAGATATATATGCAATAGGTTAGTCCCGTGACACTTCCCCTTGAGATAATATGGCACATAGAGCTTTTCCGCTCGCGTCTGTTGTAACGATAAATGGTTTTGTGAAATCTGGATATGTAATATAGGTTCCGAACATAGGATGTTCTTTAATTTATAAAATGCTTCTTAGCAAGAAGTGTCCCAGTTAAAGGTAATGCCCTTTAGATTTATAGATAGATTTGTCATTGGTTTTGCTATTAAACTATATGATTTTATAAGCTTCCTATAATACCCAGAAAGTCCCAAGAATGATTTAATTTCTTTTACAATTGTTGGTGCTGGGAACTGTAATACTGACTCGAACTTTGCTGGATCCGGCTGTGGGTGCACATGGTTTGCGCACATTTAATAAAAATTACAACTCATTTGAGCACAGATTATTTCTAGTGTAACCACTGGTTTGCGCACACATTTTCCTTCCCACTCTTACAGACTTAGGACTGTCAGTGAATATTTTAATTTCACTGGTGTGGTTAAAAATGTATTTTTGGTGTGCTATGTGTTAAACTGAGGATTTAATGTAGCAATTGCCTTACATTTTTTATTGGTACATCGAAATGAAAAATGCCCACATTTTAATTTTCTGTACTTCGAAAACTTAAAATTGTTAATAGAAACACACATTTTACCTACGCTTATAGTATATATTTGTTATTTCGTAATCCATATTTCTGTAAGCGCTGTACGAGATAATTGTCGAAACTAAAACTAAAAACTTGTGTTTGCGATTTCAAAACGATAGTACCAGTTTATTGATGGGTCATAAATACTGATAAAGTTTATCGAAGTAATATTGCCGATTACAGACTATTATCTGCGTCTAAAAACCAATATAATATTAACGTATATAATAATATTATGTACAAAATATAATCTTGGCTATACCATATTATTGTATATAATATGTTGTGCGCAAACGAGTGATTAGATTACAGACCATTATCTGCGTCTAAAAACCAATATAATATTAACGTATATAATAATATTATATTATTATGTACAAAATATGTATGCAATCGAGTGGTTCCTTCTACAATATGTTTTGCGCAAACGAGTTACAGGTTTAAGCAGGGAAATTTTAAAATGTGCGCAAACTAGTTGTAGCCTCCGGCTGTATGCCGTTTTCACTGATTATATGATCTAAATACATACACTGTTGTTTTGAATTCGCATTTTGCTGGTTGTATTTTTAAGTTATGATTTCGAAGTTGTTCAAATACGTCGCGTAATTTTTCGTTATGATCAAGTAAACCTTTGCCGTATATTATTATGTCATCTAAATACACTTAACATTTTATTCCCACGATACCAGCCATTACATTATTCATTAGGCGTTGGAATTTACATGGAGAAGTTTTAAGACCCATCGCCATTTTTTTTAAATGCCAGTGACCTTGGTTAGTCGAAAAGGCTGTAAACTCTTTGCTTTTTTCATCTAACTTAATTTGGTAAAAACCCTAGGCGAGATCAATGATGCTGAATAGATTGCATTTCCCTAGCTGGTCTAATATTTCAGTTATATTAGGCAGCGGGTGGTACTCGTTTATCGTTACTTGTTTTAAGGCTCGACAATCTATGACTATTCTAAATTGTGGTATTTGGCTCGGGTCAACTTTCTTTTTAACTAATAGTAAAGGAGCGGTTCACGACAAGGAGGGTTCAATAATGTCTTCTTTTTTCATTTGTTTAATTTGGGAATCTATCTCGGCCATTTGCGCGTGTGGTAAGCGATACGGTCGCTTGCATATGCGCTCCTGATTTTCCGGTATATTAATTGTATGTGTTAACGTATCTGTGTATGTTAACGTATTCCCTGTTAAATGAAATATATCTTGGTAATGTTCACATATTTCTAGGATAGATTGCCTTTGTTCATTATCCATATGATCACTTCTAATTAATTGTCTTATTTCATTTATGCGTTCATTTCTATTATCGTCATTTATTATCGACTGTGTAATATATTCAAATTCATGATCGTATCGTATTTTATTTAAATTATTTAGCATAACGTTTTGAGGCTTTTCGGTTATATTTATGTAATGGGTAAAATATAAGAGTGGGGGATTAGGGGCTGTATTATTAGAGAGAGAGATGTAATGCCCGATGGCACGAGAATGAATCTTACGTTTTTATTTATTTGGTGGGGTGTGATTATATTTAATATGTGCAGCCTCTAATTTACCTTATATAATTTCCCTTTCCTAAATATTATTATGTATATGTGTGTGTATTATTTAAGTGCATGCTTTAATTATAATATGTGCGCACTTACCTTGTTTGGATGTGAATAATAATTATGCTTTTCTTCTGTGACTCTCGAGTTGTGGATTAGATACACGTTATTTATTACCTCTTTTATTGATGATTTATGATTTGTTAAGTTGAATTGAAGTATGGATTTTTTATGTAGGAAATAAGAATAATATGGAAAGGAATTTAATAAAGTTAACACGTATTTGATTCAGTTATAAATGTAAGAAGATGAGCGTAACGATATGAGTTAGTACTTAGGTGTTTGGATATTTATGTGAGACGTGAGTGTAAAATATAAGTTAAGTTAAAACTTGGCAGATAGATGAAAAGTAATTTATGCGTAGATGTGTGGCGTAGAGAAAAATGGCACTGCGGCTACTTGGCTATATGATGACACTACGACGCTACGACACTGGTCAATTCTCTTCTCTTCGCTCCGCTCCTTGAACACCGTCTCTGATCTGTCTGCGCTGTGTCTTTGGTGTGGGCGGTACTTATATAAGCGTATCATAATTGCCGTCGCATGTCGCAGCATCACCATCCGTGTATAGGGTGTAACTATTCTTTGTAGTGTATTCGTATTGTTTTATTACGGTGTGTATGGATGCGTCTTATGAACTATTCTATTCTATATGTATGTGTGTGTGTGTTTTATATAATTTGGGGAGATTTTGATGTATATTTTACTTGTTGTTACATCATTTCCTGTATAATTCGGGATGTGATTATTCAATTATTTTTATATTATATGATTGATTTTGGTGTACATATTAATTTTTGTGTCATCATGTTTTAGATGATGGGGTGCAATTATTGTAATATGCTGTGTATTTAATTGTTGTTGTTGCACAACGTCTTATTATATTTTATGTGATCTACTTATATGAGAATTATATTATAATATTAATTGTTTATATATGGCCGATTTAATTACATTATATGTGCCACACCCAAGTACTTATACTCATATTGGAAGTCCCTTTTTACCTTTTTATTATTAACAAGACTTGTATTATTTATATATTACATTTAAAATACTTATTATTATTTCACCGTTTTATACGGTATTAATTACGTTTCCAAAAAATACTTCTTCCATTATTTCTTGTTTATGATTTGAAATATCTTCATTTTCTAC